TGCAGAGTGTATATTAAGAGGGGTTTTGCTTTCATGTTTTATATGATATAAGGCGACCATGCACGTCTGCACTGTGTAAACGTATATATTGCAATATGACCCTTTCTTCATTCTGTACCATCTGCCTTATTTGTTTTATATGTCTTCACCATGAAGTGTTGGTATTTGCTGCCAATCCCCAGGATTCTCATCTTCTGCAGTGAGATTTTACTGATTCGGGAACTTACTCCGCTCAGTTACTGACGGTACTTAATTCAGTTTCTATGTAAGCACTAAGCAAAGCCCCCAAGCGTTTGCACAGTAAGGATTTATGGATACAGCAGTGGTTTAGATTTAAGCAAATAAATGAAGGTAATTGCAGGCTAAATTGATTTAAGATGATAGCTGGTTTATCAGCCTCCACAAATCCCTGTCTGACAAATTTTCAGGGTAACAAAACAAAATGCACTGATAAAATATAAAGCTGTATCGTTGGAGATAAAACAGAGTTCAGGTTGGTAGCTACAGCAAAGATAGTTTACAGCACAAAACTGTTATTCAGAAAAATACTAAAGAAAACAAAAACAAAACATGAGGGGGCAGTTGTTTTTTATTCAAAGCTTGGCCTCTCTCAATTTAGTTAAAATCTGCAATTACTCAGTCTAATAAGAATGCTTTTCTCCCTCTTGTCTAGGGGAACCAGCTTTTACTGGGTAAGGGCTATTTTGTGGAGAACCTAGACCAGTGATTTGGTCTTTGCACATTGCGGCCTATTGGCACTGCCAGCTCTTTGCCTCCCGGGGCCACTGCTTTCATTTTAAGATCTACCTTGCCATGCTATTACTCCTAACAGGCTCAACCACTAGTAACGTGAATCTTACTGTTCCAAGGTCAGATTCAGGGATTCCATTTCCCTTCCAAAACCACTGATACTGGCATATCTCAATTATTTCCCATCATCAATCCTTACATTTCATAGAGGTTGCTGGGACTCTCTTGGGTGTGAGACTATAACTATACAGATCCAGATAGTATAAAAGTGTTATTCAAAGTGTATATTCAAAGTGTTATTTGAAATCTGAAGTGCCCCTTTAAATGTAAGTATTAGTTGATAAGTTCAGAATAAATCAGCATGGGTCATAGTTGCTAGGATATATTATTTTATACATATTCCCAGCTTGAATAAATACTTTCTTTGAGCAATGTGTGATATCTTCAGAACTGCCTAGGATCTAAAATAGAATTTTGTAGAATTACACTTATTTACTATGAATTTTTTTTCATGTATAAAAACATAAATGAACATATTTGTGTTTCCAAATAACTATATAAAATGAGAAATAATTTGATTATATCACAGTCTGCATTACATTACAGTCTTTGTGAATAATGCATTTGAAAAAGTAAACATTATTATGTATATACCTAAACCTTTGCTTTTTGCTTCTAGAGTTTCAATACACCTGTGATGATTTTTATCTGACATTTCAGCTGGCTGTAGCTAAATTGCTAATATCCATGGAGATATTGCACAGAGAAATGTCTTGATGCTTCCACACAACGTTGCTGATATTTTGAATCTTAAAATACTGTTTTGGGGGGAAATCTGAACTCTTTAACAAATATAATTCAAACATTTCTCAAAGATATCCACAAATATTATATCTGCCAAGAGAGTTGCTTCCAACTTGTGAAGGTCACAGTGTGACATTTCAGAGCTTCATAGTTATATAATATACTGATATCTCTGCTCAGTGACATATTGCAGATATCAAACTTCACTGTCAGATAAGTCATAGATATAGTTAAAAAGAAAACCCAGCTGATGATTTTAATGTTATTTTTAGGATTTATATAAGGACTTGACATACTTCACTATATCGGCCTGGCACAGAGAGAGAATGAAATCAATTCAATAGGTCATATCGGCAAGAAAAAAAAGTTGGCATTGCAGAAAAGTTGCATTTGAAAAGAACACAAAAAAGATTGAAAAAATAGAAAAAAAAAATATTCTGGTGACAAAACTATTCTTTCCGTGAATGGGATTCAGCAAGTGCACTGAAATGACAGAAGAGATGGTGATATTTTTTGTTTTGTTTTGTTTTTTTTAAAACTATTTTTGATGTCACAGAGAATGTAAGTTTTAACTCATGAACAAAATCAAGCTCTTTCAGAACTAAAAAAGTCAAGCACTTTCAGGCCTTGACTAACGTCAACAAACTAAAAAGGAAATGCTACTATATATCTACATCACTAAATGTATCAGTATTTAAAGATTACAATGAGTTAGTAACTCCAGCTCACGCATTGATATATTTAAAATGCATGACTGCTAAATTGCCCGCACCTGGCACTGATCGTCCTGTCCAACATTCCGGGAGCTTCGTATCTGAGACTAAAAAACAGAAAATACCTGCATGACATTCATTAACTAATTGTAATTCATGTTTTACTCTGATATTTTGAGAAGATAAACTGACATCAATGTGATTTCTGCTTCCTGAAATGCTGCTATTGTCAAGACGTTTGCTCTTGCTTTTGAAACTACTGCTAAGGCAGATGATGGTGCTTTTGTTGTTAGAGCATTGCTGTGCCACCACTATCCAGTGTTGGTTGAAGAAATTTTGTTGTTCCATATGCTCCACCCATGATGTGACATCACACAGACCATGCTCGTATATACTCCACCCATGAAGTGACATCACACAGACCATGCCCTTATATACTCCGCCCATGAAGTGACATCACACAGACCATGCCCCCATACACACCGCCCATGAAGTGACATCACACAGACCATGCTCGTATATACTCCGCCCATGATGTGACATCACACAGACCATGCTCGTATATACTCCGCCCATTAAGTGACATCACACAGACCATGCCCCCATACACACCGCCCATGAAGTGACATCACACAGACCATGCCCCTATATACTCCGCCCATGAAGTGACATCACACAGACCATGCCCCTATATACTCTGCCCATGCAGTGACATCACACAGACCATGCCCCTATATACTCCGCCCATGAAGTGACATCACACAGACCATGCCCCTATATACTCCGCCCATTAAGTGACATCATACAGACCATGCCCCCATACACACCGCCCATGATATGATATCACACATACCTTGCCCTCATATACTCTGCCCCTTATGTGTCATCATATAGACCATGCCCCATATGCTCCGCCCAGTCGCCCAGACAGACCTACATTTCAGTTCAGGGAATGCTGATGACCCGCCGCCGTAGGTACCCTACTAGGCTGCCACTAAGGGGCGTAACAGAAGCATCATCACTCTACTTAATGTCAAGAATATGGGTTGGGGATCAATGCTTTACCACCTGGGCCAAAAACAATAAAATGTCAGAAAAGGATGCTATAGCTTGCTGATCTTTTTCTTTTATTTTTTTTCTTTCTTCACTCATAAGACATGGCCAGAAAAAATGCCATCAAACTACCCTGCTGCACCTTCAAAAATAAAAAATAAAACTCAAGAAAAAAAATTATTATTTTTCTTAAATCCCTATTAAAAAATTAACTATTCCAGCCAGTCCCCTAGCCCGCTATAATAGAACATCTTCAAGTGTCAAAAGCTTATAAATGTGCCTTCAAAACCTTGTGATTTGCATTGTGATTCCCAAGCTGGTCTTACATCAGTGAGGCTTTCCCTTTAATAGGCACAATAATTAGCCAAGTGTCTAATAAGGTCCACATTGTAGAAACACTCATTTGAGTTTTCTATGTCTCTATGTAGAGGGGACCTGTTCGCATTACAGTTTTGGGTTGTCAATGTCGGTGAGATCAGTCTGTCATAGAAATGCTTCCCTCTGTAAAGATTGTGCACTGACAATATGGACGGACCTCATGAAATGTAACTTCTGCTAGTCTCTGGCGCACTGCATGTGAATCGATGCCTCTATGTGTAATTAAGACTTTGATAGTAGTCATTTATTTATGGAATGTATGACACCCCAAAAAGTTTTTACCAGACTGTATAACTGATTCACATCAGACAAAAATAGAATCTATGCAACGTTTCTTCAATATAGGGATATTATGGGTACTTGGACTTTAAGACACCCTGCACACTGGATATGTTTTAATGCAATGTGGAGATAACGTAAAAACAAAAAGTAAAATATATAAATAAATTCTCACCTCTGACTTTCTTTCATTTTCTGCAATTTTCTATGATCTGCAGAGACCATAGTAAGCTTTCACATCATCCTATTGGCTGATCTCATTTGAGCACTTTTATTTTGCTGTGTTTATTATGAAGGTTAAAACAGGTTAAAAGAACACTCATATAACCGTAACAACTTCCTCTAAAGGTACATATCTTTTTTATGACTAGGGAGCTACTGATTGGCTTAATGCATCAATTGACCTCTCTAGGCAATTAGCAGCACCCCTGCCCGGCTGCACTCCATGCTTCCTGTAACTCAGTTTCAGAAGCCGAATGCCGAATGGTGGACCTGGAGACCTGTCTCTAGAGCCAGTGTTCAGGGTTAAGCCATTTGAGAACGGTTTAACCCCATAAGGTAAGAGGGGGCCTGCTCGCACCATAACAAACTCGTTTAGATTAAGTAGTTATGGTGATCGGAGTGTTCCTCTAAAGCACATAAGAAAAATTAAATGTAGTGATCATTCTTGAGACGATTTTCACATACCAATACATTTTTTTTAATTATTACTTAACCCCTTAAGGACCAAACTTCTGGAATAAAAGGGAATCATGACATGTCACACATGTCATGTGTCCTTAAGGGGTTAAATTGCATGCCCCCTCAGTAGTTTAATGGCCTGAGTTTATCACTTGCACACTATATATCTAAGTATCATTGCACCCAGCAGGATCTGTGCTCCCCTTAGTAATATCTGTTTTATAAAAAAAAAATTCGGGGGGGGGGGGGCGTGGCTTGGCAGCCTAAGAAAATGGCCGCATAATCTTTCCCTCCGCCCGGGTCCCGACTCACCAGCACAAGCCCACCCACTCCACTGCCGACATGGGGAGGTCAAACAGGGCCCCACCGACCGGGAAGACCCCAGAGCCCAAAAAGGGACAGCTTACCTCGTCCCTCCGCCAGTTCCTGGTTACCCCCGCGGACCTCACGACCCAGCCGCATTGTGCCGACAGCATAATGGCGTCGGAAGATTCCGCGCCCTCATCGCCGGCATCTGATCTGCAAACCGGAGGGTCGGAAAGACCCCCGTGGTTGGACCGCCTGAGGGCCCTGCCCACCAAGGGAGACCTCCATTCGGCTACCTCAGAACTGGGAGCCACAATAAGGCAGGACATCCAGGCACTGAGGGCTGACCTGCAGGGCCTGACAGACCGGATGAGCCACGTGGAGGCAGCCTGTGACACTCTGAGAGAGGCTCAGAATACACTAGCTGAGGCTGCAGAAACCTCCTAAGAACAGGTACGTGGCATGGCCCTGCATATTGAGGACTTGGATAACAGGGGGCGCCGCAATAACTTAAGGCTGCGCGGCCTCCCTGAAACTGAGGACTCCCCCAAACAGCTACAGGAAAGCCTCCTGGAAATATTTAATGGGATCCTCGTCCGTGATCACCAGGCACCTATAGACTTTGTAAGAGCTCATAGAGCCCTCCGTCCTAAGGGCGTGCCAGACAGCCCACCCAGGGATGTCATTTGCTGCCTGGCGAATTTTGCCCTAAAGGAGCCTATCCTTAAAAAAGCACGAGGCCAGCAAACGCTCACCTACCGGAACCAATACCTGCAACTCTTTCCAGATTTATCGCCGGCTACCCTGACCTACCGACACGCCCTGAAACCACTCACGAGGGTACTGGTGGCTCAACAGATCCGGTACAGATGGCAGATGCCCACGGGACTGCTCGTCCACACGCCGAGAGGTCCATTCCTGGTCCGCACACACAGCGACTACATAGCCCTGGGCACCGAGCTCCAACTGCCCGCCATCAACATGAGATGGCCTGACACATTGGACATATATAGCACCGCAAGAAACCCCTACCCGAGACCGGCGCTGCAGCAACGCACTCAATGGGGATGCCAGGAGGCCACTAGGCCTACAGGTACCGCCCGCTAGAGGGCATGACTTCCCCCCCCGCTTTCCCCACACTATGCCCCGCACCGGCCTGGCCCTCTCTGGGGCACACACACTCCCGCTACAGGACTTGGACACTGTCTCAAGGCACAAACTTGGCCAACCTATCGATTGGACACCCATATTGGCACTCTGCCCCTCCACCCCTCAGAACAACACCCCTTGCCGGGTGGTGCGAACGGTTGCCGAGCCATACCCCACCTACGGCCATGCCGCTCAGAAGCTTCACCATGGACATGGGGCCCCGTCCACCCCGATGGGGTGGGGTGGGCTGGGTGACGTGGCCCAAGGGACTGTGGTACCTAGTAGCGCCTGCAAGTGGTGGCGCCCACTGTGCTGTGTTTCGTGGGTCACACGCGCCTGCACATGCTGAAATGGCCCATTGCATTGTACTTAACCCGCATATGTGCCAGCGCATGCTAAAACTATCTACGGCATGGTATATCACGCGCATACCCGCACGCACAGATTGCAACCACCCTTTACGCTACAAACCACTGCATATGCGCTCGCACATACTGACACGGCCCACTGCAGGGCATATAGCATAGCATAGGCGCCCACACATGCTTAAATTGCCTACTGCATTGCATTGACCGCTATATACGTGCCTGCGCATGCTCACATGGCTCCTAGGTCGGTATGTAGCCGTGCATACACGCCCGCGCATGCTCAAATAGCCCATCACATTTTATATAACATGGTATGTCTTTCTTAGGAGCTATTCTCTGGTCCCTTTATTTGTAGGATTCCTTCTGGACTTGCTCCTTTATTCTCCCTACTTGCTTTATCTCTGTTTAATATAGGGTATATGCCTGTTTAATATAGGGTATATGCTAGAATTGCCTCCTACACATGCTAAACTTGTCTACTATTTATATTTCGGGTTATACACTTGTGCAAGTTCAAAATGTCTATTGGTTCGTATGCAACACTGGAGACGTGCCAGAATAGGCTACACCAGGGTAAAGCTCTGTATATACCATTGCACAAGCACCCGCACACACAGACCAGAGATGGGCTGACCCCAGAGAAACACCACCCACCACCATACAGATGGGGGAACCCAATGGGGGGTCCATTAGTTGGGATTCCCTCGGGGGGGACACGGGCCCTCCACACCGCTTTCGGGGCGAGAGGAACGGCACCACGGGGCCACACTGGGGCACGTGGGGGAAGGGGCTGGGGGGAGGTTGGGTGGGGGTGGGGTCTCTTAGCATCCTAGACATATGAGCTGTAATAGGGGGGTTAAGCCCTGGGTCGGCTCGTAGACCTTCCCCTCAGACTAGACAATGTCGGGACCCGGGGGTGAGTTCCCGCAGACACACAAAGGTATCACCAAGAGGTCACAGTTCCGGCTGGAACCCGACCATACCCTGGGAGACTCGCCCCGGAGACGCGACAAAAGTATATCACAGGTTCGAGTTACAACTGTTAGTGTTGGTTGTGATCCACAGCCACCTCTGTTGGCTGGTTGACAAGGCGCCTTCCACATCGCCACTATGCAAATCCAAAACTACGTCATGGAGGCTTCACGAAAGCCTTCTCTCCAACCCGCAGGTGACCTGAGACGTACAACAAGCCCTGACGAATTACTTTGCTGAGAACTTACCGCAGGACACATCCCCTCTCTTGACATGGGAGGCCCACAAGTGTGTGATTAGAGGGATCCTTATCTCACACTCCTCTGCCCTGAAAAGGGCACGAGAACATACGATCCGAGAACTAACTGCCAAGATAGGGACCCTAACACAGGCCCACAAACTAACACTAGACGACACACGTCTCGGGGAACTCACAGCAGCCCGTGAAGAACTAGCACGGGTCCTGCGGCAATCGTACACTAGGGCCCTCCAGCGCACTAAATCCTTTTTCTACACAGAAGGAGACAGGTGCGGCAGGTTGCTGGCCAGAATGATCAATAAAAAACGCTCCATGACATACATCGCACGCATGCGCGACGCCGCAGGCCAACTACACCACATGCCAGACCAAATCGCTGCAGCTATAACTCGCTTCTACGCAGACCTTTACGCGATCCCCTCCCACGCCCCTCGAGCAGACCCGAGCTTAGGAGCGACCCGCATAAACGCATACCTCACTAAATACACCAAAACCAAACTCTCCCCAGACGCAGCGGAGGCCCTGGAGGCACCCCTAACGGAGGGGGAACTGGCCCTGGCCATCAAAGCCTCAAAGACAGGCAAAAGCCCGGGCCCAGGCGGCCTCCCCCTCAAATACTACAAAACCTTCCTGACCACACTGTCCTCCCGATATGTCTCGGCCTTCAACTCCATAACAGAGGGACATACCATCCCCCAGCAAACACTGGCAGCCAACATTGTCCTGCTGCTGAAGGAGGGGGAGATACCGAACGGTGTACGGGCTATCGACCTATATCGCTACTTAACTGCGACCTACGCCTGTTCACTAAAATACTAGCTACAAGGTTGAACCCACACATACCAGACTTAATCTCTCCTGACCAAGTGGGCTTCGTCCCCCACAGGGAAGCTAGAGATAATACGGTCCGGGCCCTCTCCCTGATCCACCACGCGCAGCGCACCTCGGAGAGCCTTCTCCTCCTCTCTACGGATGCGGAGAAGGCCTTCGATAGGGTGGCATGGGACTATCTATTCTCGGTACTGGAACATGTCGGCCTGGGGACCCATATGCGCCAGTGGATAAAATCTCTTTACTCATCCCCCACGGCCATGGTGTGCATAAACGGGGTTTATACAGATGCATTCCCAATCAGGAACGGAACCAGGCAGGGCTCCCCCCTGTCGCTGCTTTTATTTATCTTGGCCCTGGAGCCCTTCCTACAAGCGGTAAGGGATAACCCAGATATCTCGGGGGTGACAGTGGAGACAGACCACCACAAAATCGCAGCATATGCGGACGATATGCTATTCTTCATCACTAACCCGGAAATCTCCCTCCCAAACCTCGTGGCAGAGTTTAAGACATACGGCCAAATCGCTAACCTCAAGATCAATTATGCTAAATCCTCTATCCTCAATATTGGCTCCCCCCAGAGGAGGGAAGACCAAATCGGACGGAACTTCCCCTTCCAATGGCGGGACACCGCTATTAAATACCTGGGGGTGAGGCTCACGGCCGACCTATCCAAACTATACCATATGAACTTCACCCCACTGCTGGGAACCATATGGACTTCACCCCACTGCTGGGAACCCTATGGACACAATGGGCCACACCTCACTTTTCCTGGCTTGGCAGGGTTGCCATTGCCAAAATGAACATTCTCCCACGGGTCCTCTACCTATTCCAGACACTACCAATCCCACTCCCTACCACCTTCTTCGCAGCACTACGCACCCTCCTCATTAAATTTATCTGGAAGGGCACTAAACCCAGACTCAAGTACACACAACTCACACTCCCCAAAACAGCAGGAGGCCTGGCCGTTCCTGACCTCAAACTGTACTACCAAGCATGCCACATGCAACAGACCCTGGAATGGGCAAAAGAGGGTATAAGCAAACCCTGGAAGGCCATTGAAACCCACCACGCAGGCAGGCCCCTTTCAGCCCTTCTGTGGCTGGACCCCTCGACGGGTCGGCGGTTAGTCTACCAACAACCCTTCATCACCACCACATTAACCATATGGCACACACAAGCGAGGAAACTACGCCTCTCCTCCTTCCCATCCCCACTACTACCCCTGGTGTACAACCCGGACTTTGAACCGGGGGTAAGACCAGGAAACCTCTGCTGCGTCCTCCCCCAAAACATACCCAGACTCCGAGACATGACTACCAATGGGAAAATCTTGCCCCTACAGACGCTCACGGGCACACCCACCCACCGCTTCATGGCGACATTTAGGTACACCCAAATTAAGAACTACATCACCGCCATACCACAACACCCCGACGTCTATAGGGATCTCACGCAATTCGAACAGTTGTGCCAGGACCCGGAGCCCATGCCCCATAGCATTTCCCACCTCTACTCTATGCTACAACGACAACAGGGACAACCCCCACCCCCCTTCATGTCCAAATGGGAGACCGCCGTAGGAGAAACACTTACCGAGACCCAGTGGCACAAGATCTGCGACCTAGTGCACCACTGCGCATTTGATAGCAAAACGCACGAAACGGCCTACAAGGTCCTCACACAATGGTACTTGACACCAGAACGCTTACAGAGAATGCACTTAGACACTCTGCTGGAGGTGCAAGAGAGGGGTGGGATCCTTCCTCCACATATGGTGGGAATGCCCACTCATAGTACCGTTCTGGGAGAAAATAGCTGCCATGGTGGCCTATTCACGGACAATGTTCCACCCTTCCAGCCCGCCCCGTACCTCCTGCACCATACGACAACCCCCACACCACGCTACAAACGCTCCCTGACCATCCGCATTCTTAATGTCGCAAAACACCTAATACCTTTGTACTGGAAAAAAGACACAACCCCAACGCTTTCCCTGTGGTTTACTAGAATGGAGGAGTTACGAGTAACAGAGGAAATCTGGTACTCAGCCCAAGACCGAATGCAGACATACCTAGACACATGGACACCCTGGCTGGCACGGGTGGGAACGGAGGCATTTCGAACTGTGCATTTGACCATGGGGGGAGGAACGGACGACCCCCAGGAGGAGACAGCAGGGGCCTAACGGGACGACCCACACCTGGCCCAAGACGCAGTACCTCACCCTACCCCACCCACTGTCAGGTCCGGGAGGAGCACAGGCTCGGGGGCGCGGGGGGCCGACCCCTCAGGGATGTGCTGGGGGGTATGATACCTGTCGAGGTGCGGCCACCTGCAGTGCCCAAAACGGCCTACGGCCCCGCGGGTACGGGGGGTGGAAGAGTGCCAGTTCCGCGAGTTACAAACTTTATTAGTTTAGAAGGAAACGCAGGATGCCCCTTAGGTTATTCCCATCAACACCATGTATAACGCTGGGCAGAGCCGAATTGTACCAGAGTAGGGGGTCAACACCCCACTATACCACCATCCTGGACCCTAGACACGGGGTCGCAAGGAGGCTGCGTGCCCTGATGGGACCCTACACAGTAGGTGCCCCACATGTCCTATGAATGCATGGTGGCTACAGGGTGGGCACGGGGGACTAGACGAAAATTGGCGGGACATACAAAACTACCCAATGTAGAAAAGGTACACGTCAGATATAACAAAGTACTACTCGTAACTATGCACACACCACTTACTCAAGAAAGCGTCCTGCGAGTCGCCAAGACTATGCCCTATGATGTATAAACATGTACAAATGACCAAAGGGACCTGCGTGTCCATGTTTTTCTGTTCCATGTTGATAACAAACAAGAAAAATGAAAAAAAAAATAATGAAATGTTCAATAAAAACATATTTACAAAAAAAAAAAAATTCGAGAATCAAAGGCACTACTTTTATATGTAATTTCCCGTGATAGATAGCATTCAGCTGTAAAAATGTTCCATTCTGAATAACAGAAATAAACAAAATGCCCTTTGAACCCAATGAGACCCAGTTCTGAACTGAATGCTCCCTTATGCACACTGTTCCATTCTTTGTGCGTCTAACACAGTTCTGTGATATACTGCAAGGTTGGCAATTGTATGAATCATTTGTCAAAGAGCTAAGCTGTGTGACACAATGATATAAGAGTATTTAAGGAACCTAATACACCGCAGGTGTCTAGAGAAGAGGGTATGCAATCTTCAGATGCCAAAGAGAAAAATTAGGCTGCTGGGTATATATATCGGGAGCTCAAATGCTTTTTTTGTCTTTTCTAAAATGATTTGTTTTACACAGTAGGTCTTCTTTGATCCTGTTGGAGATGAAAAGATGACATGTTTCATACTGGCTTTGTTTCATCTTACAATCAAGCTTGTTTGCGCAGGGCCCCCGTCACTCTTTATTCCTGTTAACATTTGTTGTTTCTCCTGTTTGTTGTTTCTGTTGTCTACTGTTAAATTGTAAAACTCTGTGGAATATGTTGGTGCTAAACAAACTGAACTGCAATCCCTAAAGCCTTTACATATTTAAAACAACTACGCCCCTGTCCAGCTGATATAGGAGACGTCATATCACTTTACTATCAGAGTACTCTTGAACTGTCTGATAGAAACAGATGATCTCACATGTTCCGACAGTAATGCTACTTGGGAAAGTCCTTGTCAAGGAGTTGGAGAGTCCCAACACATGGGAACTGAAACTGACAGGGTTATTTACTAAAGAGCGAATTCAAAGTGAATTTCAAATTTAAAGTAGCCGAACTCATATTCCAGCTGACACAGAGAATTTTTCAGTTCGACTATTTTGACCTATAGTCACCAAAACAACTTTAGCTTATTAAAGCAGTTTCTGTGTACTGATCATGCCTCTGAGTCTCAATGCTCAATTCACTGCCATTTAGGAGTAAAATCACTTTTGTTTCTGTTTATGCAGCACTAGCCACACCTCCCCTGGCTGTGACTGACACATCCTGCATGGAAACAAAACGGTTTCATCTTCAACCACATATAACTCACTTTAAAAGTTTTTGTCTCCTGCTTTGTAAATTGAACTTCTGCAGGGTCTAGCAGGCTATCAACAGGACAGGAGATAAGAAATATTACATAAAACAGAATTTTATGGCAAGACAGGAGGCTTCATAATTGATTATCTTTCTTTACTGAAAACCTCCAGCAGCAAAGAAACAGTTAACAATAGATAGATAAAAATCAACCAATTAGGGAGCATGACAGTAATGTGTATTGTAATCAGGCTCCTCCCAACTCCTCTTTCTTTGCTGCATGCCCCCCAGGTGAGTCTATTCCAGTTACAGTTTCCTACATTTCGCTTTTATTCAATATATTTTTTGTGAATTTTATTATATGCTTGGTCATATCTGTTACAGGTCCTTAATGTACTTCAGTTTATCTCTCTAATTTATCTATAAAAGACTACCTTAGTATCCCTCTTGTGGCTTACTGCAAAGCCTATCCTCTCTTGCTTGCCCCCTTTTGATTTGTTATCAGCAATAACTGAAAGGCATTGTTCCTGCTTCCTCTCTAAGAAGCCCACCGCAGCTTGTCTAGAAGCCCGCTGATCCTTGTATCTATGCACATACATTCGCCAGTCTAGGTACGCCGGGCAATTTAATTTGCGTCATTTGTGACGCAAGTGTTTTTTCCCACCTTTACGTTTGCAGCAGTCATCTTACGTTGCGGCACTTTCCCACCCTTTTGCCGTTCGGGAAAGTGTAGCGTTACAGGATGGTTATTGGCTCCTTACCACAGCGATCAGGTAAGTCTTCCTTCATTTATAAATAGATTTTTCTACACCAGCTCAATGTTGTATAGTTTCTAATAAGTGCCATATATTTTCTTTTATTACAGATTGTAGCCAACTCTGCAAAAACTATGTGGCCGACCACCACATATTACAATTAAATCTACAAAGATACAGGTGACCCCTATTTGTTAGTTATAGCATGGTAACCCCGCCAATATCAGAGTGCAGCCAATTCTTGCACGCGTACTATTGGATGAACCCCATTTGCCGCTGGTGACCCCAGTCATATCTATACCCAACTGTATAGTCAAACATTTACTGCACGATTTTATATAATATTTCTAAACAACCAGACCCTACAATTTCCGCTGAACTTCGTGCTTCTCTCTACTCCCCGATAGTGGAGTCAATTTTCAAGGCTATAGCAGCCTTCTGTGAGCAACCTTTAAGCGTTTCAGAACCATCTGCTCATGAAGATTCTGACTCCAACAATTCGCATATGTCAGATCATGACAAAACCTGGCGCAAACGCCCTTGGAAAGGGGATAGCGCTTCAGCGGGCAAAGGTAAAGCACCAGCTAAATCGACCAAGCTATCTTCAGCACCATCTGTTCTACAAATTTTAGAACCTCTAGAGGGTTTGACTTCACACCAGAATCTCCAGGTTCTGGATGAATACTATGCCGACTACTCGGATGAGGATTTCACGGCGAATATGCCCTGAGATTCCTCTTCCTCTAAATATGTAAAAGAATCCTTTATTGCCAAACCTATTCAGTCAAATGACTCAGACAAAATAAAAAATCCAGACCAGTCTACTGATATCCTTCTGGATGCAACCCACAAATAATTCAGCACCGATGCTCTGCCAAGTGGGCACCACCGGAACATATCACCAACTTCTGTAACTTGTGGCTCCGCAAGCCTTTAGAGAAAGATTCGAGCCAAATTACAAGCAGAATGTCCCCAGCCCACCATACCGGGTAAAGTGGCCTTGACTCCTGAATTTGACCCTCTACTAGTCACATTTCTAACGAAATCAGGAAAAGATTCACGTAAAGGTATAGAACAAGGTCTCAAATCGTCCCAAGATAAGCTCTTGGATATTGCCGGACCATTGATCCAAATTTTTATTTTGACTGATGAAGCTCTTATGAGCAGAGAATTAGATCTGCAAATGGTACGTGAGTGGGCTCAAAGAGCGCTATGTCTTCTTGGTAATGCCAATGTGGCTATATCTACCGAGAGACACAAAGCTGCGTTATAAAAAAAGATGTCAAACTGGACTAAAGAGTTAGGACAAGATGCAAACAGTCTACTCTTTGGGGATAGTTTCATGAGAGACTTGAACAAGCACGTCTCAGTGTTCACCACAGTGAACAGAGCACAATCCTCCCTACGCAGGGTATTCCGCTACCATAATCGTTTTTCTGGGAGAGCTAGTCGCTATCCAGGCCGTGCCACAAGCAGAGCTGCCTTCACAGGCTGCAGGCCTCGACCAAATGACCACTGGAACATGGGCTTTACCAGCACTTACCACCAACAGCTGTTCCCAAACAGAGGGTCTTTCCGAGGACGTGGATCTGCCTCCCTGCGTGGTCGCACTGCTTCAGGTAATGTACCTACCTTATTCAAATGTACCTATTGCAGGCCACTTAACCCTTTTTTCCTTACAGTGGAAAATGCTCTCCCAAGATCCATGGATATTACACACTGTCAACGGTTTCAAAATAGATTTCACAACGTTCCCAAGCCAGGACTGCCTTGCACATCGAATTAGACAAACTAGTAAAAAAACAATCGTCCTCCCCATGCACATTTATCAGCAATATGTTTTTGGTACACAAGAAGATGGGAGATTTCCATCTGGTCATCAGTCTGAGAGACCTGAACCAACACATCATGTATCGGCACTTCAAGATGGAAGGTATCCATCTTCTACGTGACCTACTCTGCCTGAGAGACTAGTTCTCCTGATTCGATCTCAAGGATGCATACCTCACAGTGCCAGTCGCCCAAAACCATCGTCCCTTTCTCCAATTCTATTGGCTACAAGACATTTGGCAGTTCACATGCCTTCCCTTCGGCCTTTGTTCCGCACCTTGGTGCTTCACCAAGTTGATGAAACCAGTTATGGCACTACCCTGATCGCAAGGAATTCAATCCATCATCTACTTGGATGACATTTTAATCATAGCCCCAGATCTGCAGACCCTTTGACAACAAGCAGACATGACCTCTGCACAACTCCAAAATCTCTGATTTGCCACAAATTTTCAAAAATCTGCTCTAAAAAACCTTCACAAACAGTCCAATTTCTTGGTTTTCAGGTCGATTCCATACAGGCTATCTTCCAACTGCCTTCTTCTAAGATCAAAGCCATGAAAAAGGACATTCGGAAACTACTGTCCTCACAACAGATCCATTTACGAGATCTTGCACACATGATTGGTCTCCTTTTGGCTTCCATAGAATCCATCTTCCCAGGACCACTACATTATCGAGCAATGCAACGCTTAAATACATTTTACCTACATTGGTCCACCACGTATGACCAACTGATTTTATTGACAAACGAAGTACGACTAGAACTTCATTGGTGGCTCCACAACATGGATGCATGGAACGGGAAGGCCATATTCAGCTCCCAACCAGATTCTGGAATCAGATGCCAGCCTTCTGGGATGGGGAGCAACCTGCTCCGAAATGTAAACTGAAGGCCTTTGGTCCCCTGCAGAATGAACTCTCCACATCAACCGTTTGGAACTTAACGCAGGCTCCTTTGCGATCCGCAGCTTCGCAAAAGACAGGTCCAATTGTTCTTTGGTACTACGGATGGACAACGTATCCGCAGTCCGTTATGTGAACCGCCTCGGGGGATCCCGTTCCAAACACCTCTCCAACATCACAAAAGAACTATATATGCCTATCGAGGAATCTGTCCATACGTGCAGAATATCTTGGAGAGATGCCAGCGATTGGCAATTGAATCCTCAAGTCTTCCACAGCATTCATCTTGTGCGGGGACCTCTTACCCTGGATCTCTTCGCGTCTCGTCTGAATCATCAGACAGACGCCTACATCAGCTGGCTACCTGACCCACTCTCCCTAGCAGTAGATGCATTTCTCCAAATCCGGCCAATGATGGGGCATACGTTTTTCCCCTCTTCTCTATGATCGCACGTACTCTTCACCTATTATGAGTTCAAGGTGTCAAGATCATTCTAATAACACCATTAAGGCAAGCACAAGCATGTTTCCATCCCTCCTGGAGATGTCAGTGGACCTACCTCTGCTGTTGCCTCTGCATCGAAATCTACACTGGAACCCTGCAGGTAAATGTCATCATCTTGCCCTTCAGGGTCATGTATGGCTCATAGCTTCGACCATTTCAGGGGATCCTGGCATGTCGCAGGACTTTCGAACATGGCTCAATAACTCTTATGGGATTCTTTGGCCCTCGGTACTCAATGGGCATACATCTCCATTTGGCAGATATGGGTTCGCTGGTGTGTGGAGGAGAATACCGATCCCGTTTCAGCTTCTCTCACACAAATTTAGAATTTTCTATCTTCCCTGTACGATCAAGGCAAATCCTATAGCTCTATTAATATCGTAAGATTCGCCATTTCAGCGGCTCATGCACCAGTCGATAACACAGCAGTGGGCAAACATTCATCTATTTGCAGGCTCTTACGAGGTATTCACCTAACCAGACCCCCTGCTCCTAGATACTCCAAGTTTTGGAATGTTGCCCAGGTTTGATTTACACGCAGTTACCTTTGCCCCAGACAGGGTACATTTTACCATTACGAGGCATACTAAAGTTAACTCCTCGTCGGTCTTCTATCCTTATTTTCCAGATAGACCTTTTCTTGCCCAACAATTGCACATTGGATTAGATGGCTACTCACTCTAGCAGGGATTGACCCCTCTTTTGGTGCCCATTCAGTCAGAGGTGCAGCGGCATCCTCTGCATTGGGCACAGGAGATTCCCTAAATGGCATCTTAGCCTCTGCAGATTGGTCTAGAGAAGCTACTCTCCTGACCTTCTATTTCAGACCAGTGTCTCATGCTTCTCTATCAATGATTTCTCAGCTTTAAAACAGCAAAAATGAAGCCTCCTGTTTTGCCATAAAATTAGGGATTATTCTATTTTAAGTGACCAAATAATCTAAATTTTATTAAAGACAGGAGGCGAATATTTTCATTCCTTTCTTCTCTATCCCCCACCCCCCTTATTTACTCTTCTGTACTACTTAACACACCCATATTTAATTGGTATTGTAGTATTCTAACCCTACTTGTTTAAATCTTTTTGATTTAGTATATGGTATGTTATCTTAGTATATTACTACACTCACTAATTTAGACTAATGGAAGTTAGCTTTAACATGTTATCTGTAACCTAAACTAGGAACAAGGACATTGTGTTGGTGTTTTTATACCAATAAACCCTACTTTCACGATGTTTCTTTTCTCTCCAGTGTGAAAACCCATACGCCTTACTACACGGTTCCTTATTCGGTTCCTAGTTTACCTGGTTGACTATTCGACTGCAAATCTGTGTGTTCATATCGTTTCTCGTTTACATGGTTGACTCTACTACGACTCAGAAGCATCAAGAAAGAGGAGTTGGGAGGAGCCTGATTACAATACATATTGCTGTCATGCTCCCTGATTGGTTGATTTTTATCTATCTATTTCTATCTATTAACTGTTTCTTTGCTGCTGGAGTAAAGAAAGATAAGCAAATATTCACCTCCTGTCTTTAATACAATTTAGATTATTCTGTCACTTAAACTAGAATAATCCATAATTTGCAATAGAGGAAGTGTAAACATTAGATTGCTCTTTACAGGAAGTGTTTAGGAAGATTTGCAAGTCATTTACAGGGAGGTGTGACTAGGGCTGCATAAACAAAGTGATTTAACTCCTAAATGGCAGATAACGAGCTGTGAGACTGCAGGGGCATGACCTATAAACCAAAACTTGGCTCAGAATACCAAACTAGACAGATGATAAAAGCGCGAGCTTGCATGTGTGAAATGGTCTGATAAATGACCGACCAATCTGTTCATTTCTGTTCAGTGTCCATGCCATTCTATGTGACTGCAGCAGGCAGTCTGACAGTACTGAATGGATGTGCGTCTGTTTCTGTAGATGTGTGTTGGTTGGCCAGTCAGTCATTAATCATATTTCTTGTTTCTCTTATGTTCGCGTTAACAGTCTGCTTCTCTGTAAATCGTCTTGTTCTGTTTTTCTCAGCATCTGCCTGAGGATATCCAGATACTGTGAATCGCTTTCAACTTGCAGTGAAATCATTCTAAATCCTGATGCAGAATGCAGAGTTGGCAGTAAATATGCTTTGCAGAGGATGATTGTACCGAGGTGATGCGTACGTCGCTGCAGAAGATGACAGATGTGCTTGTAGCTACTTTTAGTGACAGAAAGAGGCTTGTTATAGTGGCCTTACAGAAAGCTACCCATTCTAAAAAGTGCCTTTCGGAAACTGTGTTAATTGTATTTCCATACACAGTAGGAGATCTCCAGTATATTCCTGAACCAGAATTCTTAGATTATTTTGTTTCTCTATTTCAGTTTAATATTGTTTCTATAAGAGTGAAGGCATTGCACATATTATTTCCCTGTGTATATTTAGACATGTTTGGGATATATATGTACAAAGTCATCCTACAGCGCATGGACAGGGTCATTATGTGC